CTCCCACTGGCGGGGCGACCCTTCCCCCCCGACGCGCGCGCTCCCCTCAGGCCCCGCCCCCGCCTCCCCCTTCCCTTCCTACTCCGGACTGCAACGAAGGGCTCCTCGCGACGGCGCTTGTGACGTCGTTCGCCGGCTTCTTCCTTCCTTTCCTTTCCCCTCCGCCTCTCCTGCTCTTCCCCCTCCCTCTCGCTTCTCCTCCGCGCTGCATGTGTTGCAATCGCCTCACATGGGGTTTCTGACATAATTTCCGGTCCCGCACCAATTTTTTTTTTTAAAGGAAACGAGTGCCTGCGAGGAGGTGGATTTTCAGCTTTCCGCCACTTCTCTTTCTCTCATTGGCTACATGTCTTCTGAAATTTCTCTTCATTGGTTGGTTTCTGCCCATGACGGTAAGGTGCCCCCCCTCAAACTTTTATATTAGGCTGTATGCCGGGAAGCGTAGTTTGTTGGAGGGGTCACTCAGGGCGGTTAAGCAGCTCTCGCGTTACCTATCTGCACAGCTCTCGCGTTACCTGTCTGCACAGCGAGTGCGTGTTCTTTAAAGGGGACGCGCACACCTTTTTTGGGGATGTGCGGAGCTATGAGCCAAAACTTTCCACGGCGTGGGATGTAATTGACAAGCAAGGAGAGCCCGCTTGTACGTTTGCAGCTACAGAAATTCTGAATTAGCTTAACATAAGAAGTTGGACGCTGGCACTTTCCTACCTGTAAGTTTTACCCAGCCCAAGAAGCTTTAAAACAAGTTAAACTAGGGACACCGGATTTGGGATATAAACATGTGTACTAGGACTTGATAGCAACAAAGATCTGGTGATCGTCTGGAGGTTTGCCGCCTAGATCCGGTAGCCCTTGGGACGGCTGCTACCCACTTCAGTTCACGGAGGGGATGTATAGGCAATGGGGATGGTTAGAGGACAACTGAGCCGCAGTTCAACCAACCACATTTTAGTCTTGGGCATTGTGAGAACCCAGACTATATGGTTTCTTTGTGGTGTGGTGGTTAGGAAGACCAGTTATTATATTTTCAGCCCATCTGTAATATTTCTCCCAATGGATTAAACAGTTAATTAAACATATGTAACAGCTTATCAGGATCAGATTGGAGAAAACTGTGTTATATAGTCACTGAATTAGTAAAATGAGAACTGTATCACATCGCACTCGAAGCTCATCCAGGATCTTGATTTCCAACATCAGCTGTCCATCTGATCCTGGAAAGACCATAAGCAGTCAATAGTCCAAGGTGTTTGTTTCTAGAACTGGATCTTTACTCAGTTGTATTAATACATATCATAAAGATAACAAATTTTTTGCTGGAATACTGTCTGGTTCAGTTTTGTATTTCCAGCAATATCCAACAGTAACTCTCAAACAAGACAACATGGGATACCTTTTACCTGAATATGTCCCCAGCACCTGGCCCAAAATCACTTAGTCCCTTCCCCCTAACTTTTGATTTGTGTTTAAACAAACAAACAAACAAAAAAAAATCTGACTTCAAACTACATTGAGAAGGATCAGATAATGTGTGCTGTAAGAATTTCTGGTTAAGCTGGCATCACTTACCCAGTTTCAGTCTAGCTACCAAGGCTAACAAGTGTAGCATGAATTTATACAAGGTTTTATAAGAAGACAGACCAGGTTAGGGACAGATCATGATGGAGAAAGTCTATCTATAAGGTCACTAAGAGTTGACACCAACTTGATGGCACATAACAGTATTGGATCATTACACTGAATATCCACCTAGTCCAGCAGGCTTCAAACTTGAGATATCCAAGGAACCCTTCTCGATATGAAAAATAAGTGTGGAACCCATTAATAAATACATTTCATATAATACATTGTCACAGACTTCTCTCTTTTAAACAAAATGAAGATCTTACAATATCACTGTAATCATAAGAGTAAACCGTCATGTTGAATTCCTTGATTTTCGTGGAACCCTGGGGTTCCAGGGTACACAATTTGAATACTGCAGATCTAGGCCAATATCCATCTTTTCCCACAGAGATCATCAAGATGCTCCCAGAAAGTACACTGTGGCAACAGGGTTCCCATAAATGAGGTCATATGTAATAGTTACTGATTTAGTTTTAGTTCTCTCCATGTCTGATCCACTTGTTGATTTTGAATACTCCAACTATTAAACAGTACTACATCCTGAATCGGGAATTCATCTGCATAATGTTCAAACAGTATTTATAAGACCAATTGGCACTGAAGGGCTTCAGCATTTCCAGAGAATTGACAATCAAGCCAATTCCTCTCTTCATGGGCAAGATCATGGTTGGATTTACCACATTAACAACTTTTTCAAGGTAGCATCAGTCTTTGCAGAACATGGTTATTCATAAAGTTAAATCACAGGTAGGTCAATGTGTGGCCCTCCAGATGCTGAACTGCAACTCCCAATATCCCCATGGGGTAATACTGGCCAAAACTGTTAGGAGTTGGAACGAACATCTGGAGATCCACAGGTTGCTCATCCTTGAGATAAATATGCAGCAGCTAATTGGGTAGCACAAAAGCAGCACTCATTTAAAAAATGCACAATTGCTATTTCCTACTGTTAATCTTACATGGTACAAAACTAAAACAGAAACTAATGGAGAAACAACTCCATGGGAAGTATTCCAGTCATGTCTTCCATGTGCTGAATCTCCATTTGCTACAGTTAGCCTTACATCAAAATCCAACATTAATTTTATCAGATTAAAAACTTTACATGCACCAAGCTTTGATGGTTATGCATTAAGCAGTACAAAAAACTAAATATAGAGCAGATACACAAAGCTCAGGTTGCCTTTCTGTTCACTGACAGGTTTTTTGGTTAAGTCTTCATCAAATCCCCAATTCCAGTCCATATATTTCTGTCGAAGTTGAGCTGAACTCCAAGATCTTTGAACAAAGCACTAAAACAACAGGATACTTACTATTCCAATGGCCATCTGTGCATTTACATTGATGGACTTTTGAGTTGAAATGGGGAGTCCTCCTACTCTTATCACTGCCTACATAGTATGTATGCAACACAGTGATGGGACAGACAGTCCAATAAGTAAGCAACAGAGCCCGAAGCTCTACCATAGATCTGCTCAAGATCCTACATCTAGTCTATAATGCTTAGAGTGGATGAATTAGATTGTACCAGTTTTGCAAATATTATAGAATTCCCTGAGGAAAGGCAGCTGAGGTAACAATGGCTCTGGCTGGATTGCCCTGTAACAATCCAGGGGTTCCATGCCAATGGAAAAAGCTGCTAAGAAACCTTCCTAGTGATGTGTGAAAGCAGAGGCAGGTGTAACAATGTTCTTCATTAAGGAATATTACATTGCCTCTTTGCTTCAATTAAAAAAAAAAAAAACCTCTGTGATGCAAATTTTTTACTGCGTTGATATGAAGTGCATAATAGTTTGCCTTGCACAAGCCTATTATGCACTTCATTCATTGCACATGGCAGGATGAGGATTTGGCCCTATTAACATGGAGAGTAAGAGCAGTTTGAATATTTTACAAGAAGCTAGTCAGCTATGTATGGGAAGATCTTAATGATCTGCAGATGTGCCACAATAGCTAAGCATTTAATAAAGATCTGTGGACGTATTATGTACAATGTAATGCAATAAACTAGGGTTGATGAGCTAGCGACCAGATTCACCATAAGTGAAACTAAGAAATTCACAGAGACAAAGCCAAGTAGATCTAAATAAGGACATGGTTTAATGGCAAGATATCATGTGACCACAACTTGTGATTTTACTGCTGGCTTCTCCATTGACTCTGGTTGCTAGAAGCCAACTGTGAAGCATGCAAATGGTGATCGCATGACACTGCAATGGCTGTAAATGTCTGCCAGTTGTGGTGCCCACATCTCAGCCATGTGACCGCGGGAATGCTGCAACAGTCGTAAGTGCAAGGACCAGTCGTAAAGTTACTTCCTCATGCTGCTGTGACTTTGAACAGTCGCTAAGCAGGGCAGTTGTTAAGGAAAGACTACCTGTATAATGAAGAGCCAATTTGGTGCAGTGTGGTTAAGGCATCAGGCTAGAAACCGAGAGACTATGAGTTCTACTCCTGCGTTAGGTATGAAGCCAGCTGGGTGACCTTGGGCTAGTCACTCTCTCTCAACCCTAGGAAGCAGGCAATAGCAAACCACTTCTGAAAAACCTTGCCAAGAAAACTGCAGGGACTCGTCCAGTTTCCAGGAGTCAAAACTGACTCAAAGGTGCACACATATACATACATCTACTCCATAAAGATAACAAACTTTCTTGGCAGGCCGACTTCTCTACCTGTCACCCGTGCTTCTGCCAGTTTTGCACCTACTTTCAAATGCAGCACAATCACTTATCAGATACAGCTTTAATCAGAGCAAGAACAAGTTGTACTTGCTCAAAATCCTGCATGAATTATTCTTAAAATAATCAAGACACGGACTGCTTTAGAGACATTACGCAATTAAAACCTTAGCAAACCATGAAATTTAGTTTATCACATTTGCACAATTGTATAGGAAATCAGCAATGAAGAGTTTTTTAAGACACGTTAACAGAAGTGAAATAACCCCCAATTTGTGTCTCATTAGATAAGGACAGTATCAAAGCAGCACAAAGTGCAGCATGACTATTTATTCAGACTGCAAGATTACCTTCATATGCTTTACCAGTTGTGGGAACTACCTATGTAACTGAAAATATAAATAAATTGCAGCTTAAGGTCTACAGCAGGCATGGTACCTAGCAATATCATGGGGCAGCGAAAGCAAAGTTTTCACACAGACTACTTGGTCAACTGAGAACAGTTTATTAATAGGGAATCAGATTTTCTGCAAGGGAAAAGATAGTGGACAAAGCAGAAAGCCTACAAAAGCAATGAATGGAGTATCCAAGTTGTCTTATGGTTACAGCTATATTAAAATGAGTCACATTCTTTGAGAGGGATATTAAAGCTAAAGTGTAGATCTGCTTATTCGTTTCCCAAGTAAATTGTCGCCTGATGACCACAGGTCCCAATATCATCTCTTCCCCGAAGCAGAAACCCACTCCCTAAAGGAGACTCCGTTATTAAGGATGGAACTTACAATTCAGCAACGATGAATCCTAGTCCCACTCTGAATTTGAGACATGGTTTCTAGACCTTCAAATTAAACATGCCAATTCCTTCTACTTAGAGGTAAGATTGCCAGGAATCCTCAGGATGTACTTAAACTGTCACTGACCTTTAGAAGTTATCTTGCATTAATTTTTTAATCAGATAGCAATTTCTCTAGTAGACACCATCACTAAATTTATACATTTGAGAAAGTATGTATAGAATACTGCAAAAACACAGTAAGACATAAATCAGTCCACAGCTGGTCAGGAAGGTCCTTTGGCTGTCAAGCTGTGGAATATTGTCCTCTTTCTGTTCCAGTCTATACAAGACTGCAATTTACTGTTTTTCTTCCTTCTGATCCCCAGAACTCCCAGAACTCCCAGAACTCTCTCGCTCTGATGCCATCTGTGAAGAGGGAAAAAAAGCACAGTTAAGTTTTGTGAACATTTTTCTGCCCTAAGGAATAACTCAAGACTGTGGGAAGAATCACCCTATCCGACATTTTCTTCTGAAGAGTACTGTACTTGGGATTCTCTAACAAGAAAATAAAGACACCTGCATATAGACACTGCGATACTATCGCAGAAGCAGCATGCTGCATTCTTGAAACAGAATTCAGCCTTTGAAGATAAATGGAAGTTTTAATACCCAAGTTACACATTTGACCATTTGTTTAAATACAAGGTGAAGAGTACTGCATAGGGTAGGAGGGATGTTGGGAGTTGCACTTCAGCAACATCTGGAGGGCCACAGATACCTCAATACAACAGAGACCAAATGTATGAATGCTCAGTGTTGCATTCTTAATTCCCCATGCTGAAGAAGATAAACCATTGCTTTTACTCTGAATGATATGCAACTATCCTAAAGAGTGGCAATAATTTTTATGAAACTGGATTCTTTTTTAATCTGTGAACATGTGCGAGCCAGTTAATCTCTAAGCGCACTTAACATTGGAGCACTGCTGTGGCTCTTACTCTCTGAGCAATAGGCTCTATAAACTAAAGAATTCCACCCCTGGCAGTATGCACTGAAAATGTATAGCTCTTAGAACAGAATATACAAGAAAGAATATGCAAACACTGAAATGCTTATTCGGTGGTATGATTTATGTGTCAGACCAAGCTGTGCAGAATCTTATACAGAATAAGACAAAAGTATACTTTAAGAACCATAGCTTAAATGTGGTTTGCTGAATAAACTATTGGTTGGGTTTGCACAGCAGCTGGGATTATATAGCACACTAAGTCAAAACCAGCCATGTTTAATGTTACTCTGTGTGTGTGTGTGTGTGTGCGCGCGTGTGAGAGAGAGAGAGAGAGTCACCCAGCTGATATACAGATGATCAGTAAAGCCAGCTGGGTGACTTTGGGCCATTCTCTCTCAGCCCTAGGAAGAAGGGCAATGGCAAACCACTTCTGAAATATTCCCAAGAACTTGTCCAGGCAGTCACCAGGAGTCAACACTGACTTGAAGGCATACAAAATAAAAAGTAAAAATCTGGTAAATCAAAATTACTATAAACTATGATTGGGTAAAACATTTCTAAAAATATTGTGGTGTAGTGGTTAAGGTAATGGGCTTGGATCAGGCGGAATTAAAGGTTACCCTTATCAATACAGCCTCTCTGAGTTCTTAAAGAAAAGAAAATATGAGATATAATTACTAAATTATCATTCGTTTAGCACAGAAGGATTAGCAGGGCATTGGCCGTGTTTACATTTCCTTCGCTCATTTGGCTACTCCTTTTGAAAGTCACTGGCACACATTTCTGGGATATCCAGCTGGATCCTTCTCTGCCCAGACAGATCTTCCAACATGTTGTCCTACCTTTTTGTAAGCCATTTCGAAAAGTTTCAGGGATGCTTGCTGCAGGGTTGTTGCAGCCTGCCTGATGTTTTCGCCTGTTTCGCTATCTTTACGAGCCAGTAATTCCCGCACTTTTGCAATTTCTTCCTTCAATTTGTTGCACTATAAAGGAACCGCAAAAAAGAAGTCCATAAACATTGCAGCTTTTTGTGGAATGAATGATAATGCCATATAACGTATTAGCAAGACATGATCAACTACTGATATAGCACTTTAGGAGGCTGCACAGCTAACATTATCAAGTGTTACAGATATATTCACAACCTGTCTAATAAATCATCTAATATTCTGATATGAAGCTATTCCCTATTTAGCTTTTCCTGTTGATGACTGCAGCCCAAAACTCTTGTGAAAGCAGAAACATAAAGGTAAGTCTGCATCACCTTCAGTATCCCAGAGCTGTAATACCCAGAATAGATTATTCAATACAGCCCAAAAGTTTTGGACATAAACATCTGACAGATAGGATGATATCTGGGTGCATGACTTGGGAATTTTAGTTTTTCTCCTAAAATTTCACCTCTTGCAGCACATAACCAGCTTTCCTCAACATACAAGGAATATGCCATCATGCAAACCCATCTCCTACAGACACAGGAACTACTGCAGATGGAGAAAGGAACCACCTTTCTTCATGTAAGAGAAAGCAGGAAGCCACCCTTCTTTTCCAACTTCTGCCTATGCAGAAAACTGAGGTGAATGGGTTATGAGAAGGCAAGCTTTACTTGAGATCCTGCAGACCATAACAGGAAGCCTTGCAGATGACACGTAGCCTGCAGAACGGAAGTGCTCCTTTCTCCCAACTCCACCCCAAATCTTGGATACAAAATAAGAGGCTGGGAAAACACAGCTGCAGATAAGAGACTGGGAAAACACAGTTGCCTTCATAAATTTAAGCAGATGGATATCCAGCCATTCTTAAGCAACATACAATGGAAGCCCTGGATGTTCCAATTTCAAGAAAAGCAGGGGTGCCTAATGCAAACCATCTGTTACAAAGAAATCTATAAAGTGCAGATGCTATTTTCCTCTTACTCAGTGATTCTCAAAAAGGTAAGCTGCAAAATTAGCTTTCTGGGAGAAGCAGCATCAATCGCAGCAAGCACATTGCCTAATCTAATTCTAAGGTGATCAACCTGGGCTGCATGCCAAGTGGGATTCATACAACAAAATGCTAATAGAAAACATCGCTGCACACAGAAACCTAGCTTAACCAGGGAATTATCCTAGAACACGTCTTCAGTGTGCCACTTTTCAACATGCTGTAAATACATTCATTTGATTTGCTATGCATCTGAAGGAAAACTCAAGCTTCACAAAGGACGGTAACTCCCCAGAAATCACCGTCAGTTTAAAGGAAATATTTTGGGAAAGAGTAAAAAAGCAAGCTGGAAACTCTTAAGACTAAATTCAGATTTATTAGAGATAGTCCTCGTTTAGCGGCCACAACTGGGACCAGCAACTCCATCACTAAGCCAAGAGATGGTTAAGTGGAAAATCACGTGATCGTTGGCTTTCGTTTGCCTCCTAACCACTCCCCTGCCCTTTGGAATGCTCACCCTAGCACTGGGATAATTAACAAGAACAGAATTAATGTTTGTATTTACATTCATTGGAGTGGAATAGATTACAAGAGAGTAAGCAGGCACACAATGGGAATACACCAGGCTGTTTGTGTAGCACACTTGTGGCTGCTGGCACCAGCGTATTGCTTTCGATGTGTATTCCCCATTGTGTGCCTGCTTACTCTCTTGTAATCCCTTTCTCTCCAATATTGCCACTCTGCAAAGGGGGAAAAAAGAAAAACAACAGATCAGGCACAGGGGAACGTGTATTGACTATAATGGTGTTCATGTGACTGAGGGACACTGCGAAGGTTGTAAATGTGGGTATTGGTCATAAAGTTATTTTTTCAGCGCTGTCTTAACTTTGAACGGTTGCTGAACAAGGCAGTCAGTAAGCGAGGACTACCTGTACCATAAATGTATTTATATTATGAGAAAAGGGGCAAGCCTCTTTATCCTAGTTCAATCTGTAATTAGGCTAAGATTTTGTTCAAGTCCAAATGCAATACCACCTTACCAATGGTTTAAATCAGAAAGCTGTGCCTGACCGCTAAATTTCACCCACTTGCCTTACAGCTGCTCTACTGGCAGCAAAGCAGCATCTCTTGCTCCTAATGCTGTTGCAGCACCAAATCAAGGAGCACTGTGAAAATGATATTTTCCAATGTGTTTGGCTGACAGTTATCGTAATGTCAGTTATTTGTAGTAAGAAGAATCCTTCCCCAAGAGACCAGAAGCAAAGCAAGCTGGAAAATGGGTAGAGGATGGAAAAATTCAGGGACTGCTTTTTAGAGGCCAGCCTTATCACCTTTAGTATTTCATGCAAGAAAAAATGGAGGAAAACAGATATACCCAATTTAACTGGCCTAACCAATTATGTTGAAAGAGCACTGCATCTTCAGGTTATTTTTCCTTCTGACCTGAACATTTTGGAGTTGTCCCTGTGTGTCTTCCGGTATTTCTATTATACACAAAGGGTGTTCCTATGCACCACAATTTTGTTCAACTACACTATATTTTTTTGAGACTGAAGAAAATTAACAAACCAGGGATAAAGTAACAGTTCCCTAATTTGCACACTGAGAACAAATTTTAAAAAGTGCATCCACTTGAAACATGCCCAAGCAGCACACCACATCCATACATGTTCATTTTAGATTTTAAAAAATCCTTTATAAAAAGGCAGCACAGAAGACCTACCTCTTCAGCAGGCAATTGATCTTTAAACTCTTCCATCTTGGATTCTGTGTCATGGATTATTCCTTCTGCCATGTTTACAGCTTCAACACGTTCCTGAAGAAAACAATAACTTTGTAAGATATAAAGCCAGTTTGTAGTTCCTAAGCATCTTACCAACAAGACACTTGCTTACTTAATGTGCATAGAGAATGAATTCCTGAAAGAGAAACCAAAACTAGCTAAAGGCAAACATGTGTTCCACTGACAGAAATGTTTGCATGCTACCAACTTTACCAACAGTATTTAGTTTCTGTAGCTGCAGAAGGGGGGGGGGCTCCTAATTTGGAGTTAGGGACAACCCAGGAAAAGAACGTTTCAAGGACTTCCTTTTTGGGACAAATATATTTCTTATGTACTCCATCATCTGACCACAGAAGGCATCAAAATTTTTGGTAAGTATAATAAATGTTTTGGCCATTTTGTAAAAAATATTTTAAAGCCCTGGGATAAGTTAGATGTAATTACTTGGAAGACTGTATATTATTTTAGTTTTGTATGGTTAGGGTTAAACAAACCCTGGGAATATAAAAGGCCAGAAAAATATTTATGGGAGAATAACCCATACTAACTTGCATGGAAAATAAATTGCATCGGCAACTTGGCAACATTACCTTTTTCCGCCTGTCTTCTTCTGCATATTTCTCTGCATTTTTTACCATGTTTTCAATATCATCTTTACTAAGACCACCAGAAGACTGGATCACAACTATAGAAAGGTGGAAACATGTTCTTTTTACAGAATGCTATTATTGAACAAACTCAACATGAAACACATTGCAGGATTACAATATTACATATTAGTGGAACACAACCATACCTGAGAAAGATTTTATATCAGGGAAGCATCAAGTTAGGGAACGCTGTTCTAGGTTGTCAAAACCAGTCTCTATTAAGCAACAATTTGGGCTCCCAGTTAAATACATTTTACTAGACAATATTCATGGTTTATGCCAGTCTATGACTGTAGAATGTGAAGTATTGCTGCAATTCAACTTCATATCCTTTATCATTTTAGCATACACATAGGCTTTTGAGACCAGAAGTCCTGTATGTTTGGTTGGCATATTTAAGAGCACCGTCTATAATTTCAAAATTAGACCAGTTATCTTCCTCAATGTTGTGCTCAGTCAAAAATCTTCCACACAACTTTTCAGAATGATGTGTTGATAATTGCATCATAGCACACAAAGCTTGATTCTGGCCAAACACTAAAACTAAGCGATTGTATTAAGCACTTCCAGAAAAAAGGAAACTTGGGCAGAAAATGCAATGATAAATTATCAAAATGATAAATTATTAGGGTTTGTTTTATAGTGGATTTTAATGGATTGTGTATTTAATTATTTATGGGGTATTTTAATTGTTTATAGGCTTTTGATTTTTGATTGTGAGCCGCCCAGAGTTGCCCACTGGGGGAGATGGGCAGCATACAAATTTAATAATAATAACAACAACAACAACAACAATAATAAAAATAATTAAATAAATTGTGCCATGGTAAGTTACAGATATTCTTATTTCTGCTACAATTATCCTCCTAGCCAGGCTTTTGCAATAGTACTCTCAACACTGCTCTTCAGTCTTTAAAGCAGCAACAATTCAAGTACTCACTCTGTTGTTCTCGTCCTGTGCCTTTGTCTTTTGCTGATACATGAACAATTCCATTTGCATCAATGTCAAAAGTTACCTCAATCTGGGGCACTCCCCTTGGGGCTGGTGGAATCCCAACCTGGAATCACAATATACATTGCTGTTGACTTAGAGAAGAACCTTCCTACTAACCACATCTGTCACTTCAAGCAACCTAGAGTGAAATTGCTGGTACAACCTATTACTCATGAAAGTGAAAGGGTTATACAATCTGAAAAGATTCCACAGTAACCTCAAACAAAAGCAACCACAAACAAAAGTAATCTTTATTCATTATATATTTCTCTATAATTATTATCATTATAATATTTCTGCTCAGGAAATTTTATTACAGATGCTTTCTTAACACAATTTACATTAGAAAACTTTAATCAGAAAAGCATCATGGGGTATACATTCTATAACAATTAAGAGCTTCATTCTTTAACCAAATTAATTATTGTAGCAGTCTGTTTTCATAAGTATCTGCCAATGCTAATAATTTAGAGGAGGCGGCTTAAATAAATGAGGAATTGTTGTCACAAATATTATTTCCTGCTCTAGGGAAAGTTTGCGTTTTAACAAGAAGAATAAAATTACTTTCCTTTCATTCATGACTATTACTTTAGATTAAAAATACATTAATCAGAATTCCAACATACCAAAGTAAATTGGCCAAGTAGTTTATTGTCACCAGCCATTTCCCGTTCACCCTGATGAACTTTGATTTCTACTTGAGTCTGCCCGTCAGCAGCTGTAGAAAATACCTGCGGAAACAAAGCACATTTCATATTATCAATGCTGCCTAATAGGATCATATAACTAAATAACATGATGAAGTAATTTCCTGCAAGTAGCAGAATGGAACCTCAGTACCTGCTCCATGAGCTGTTAGAAAGAACAGGTTATAAGTGCGAGAAAAACTACTCTATACATTTTTAAAGAATTGAGGCAACATTCTCAGTGGGTTTTCATTCCCACTCTTACTAGTTTTTGACCTCCATGTTCTAGTTACATCACAAATACCAACCACTGCTGCTGCCATAGTGAAGCTGCAGCTTAGTGCTCCAGCCTTGTTTACAGCAAAAATAATTATACAAAGACTTATTTTTTATTTTAAAGCAGCTCTTACACACTAGTGCCTTCCAAACAAGTTAAATCACAACCCCAATATTCCCAATCAGCACAGTCCATCACTTGTTGGCTAGGACATCTGGGAGTTGCAGCCTCACATAAACGGAGAGTCCTTGACTAGGAAAAAAGGCATTTTGAAAGCTCTGAACAAAAGCTGCCTAGATGGAAACAGGCATTACATCAAGCACTCCTGAAAAACGTGGCTCCTCCCCCAGGCTTTGGGTTAAGATGAATGGATGGGCCTGGAAGGGGACGTGGGAGGATGATTTTGTTCCCTTGGACAGTGGTTGTTTTAAGGATGTTGGTTGGTCTTTTTATGGAATTCCTGTATTTTTAACCATGTGAAGCTGCCCAGAAATTAAATAAATGCTCTTCTAAAAGAAACAGACTCTAGTTGGACCTTATGAAAGAATAATTCACACCCCTTTTTTCCACATCCATCTTTCCCTATGTATCCTGGGCTTTGGATAGTTAAAGAGAGAATGTCTTGGTGCCAATCTTACATAAAAGGCTTCTCATCTGATCAGCAACTAATACTGTGATTAAGCTCTGCTCAAAGGCAACAAAACTTAAAGCAAATTTGAAGTCACATATCTGGGGTCCCACAAGTTGGGAAGACTGAATTAAAGGGAAGACTGGTTACTGGAAGAGAGAATGGCACAGCAATGACAAAAAGTAGATGAGTTTCAAATACAGAAAAACTTTTAAAAACACACTTTCTCACCTGGCTCTTCTTGGTTGGGATAGTTGTATTCCTGTTAATAAGCTTAGTGAAAACTCCACCTAGAGTCTCAATTCCCAGGGAAAGAGGAGTGACATCCAACAACAGCACATCAGTGACATCTCCAGCCAACACTCCTCCTTGGATGGCAGCACCAATGGCAACAGCTTCGTCAGGATTTACTGCTTTACTTGGAGAACGCCCAAACATGTCCTGTACAGTTTGCTGCACCTGTATGGATATATGCATATTTATCAGCAATACAGGGAAAATGGTCACACAGTGCAGAACATGGCAGGTGAATTCAGCACTTGAAAGGAGCAGGGAATTTGGAAACTCAGATATAAAAGTTTGCAAGAACACTGTAATATCTTACAGTACTATTACATTTACCCTGAAGCAGGAAAGATGTGGAATGTTTACCCCTTGACCTTGCAATAAGCCAAGCCCAGAATAATACTAGTCCAGTCCATGAATTCATCCATATGAAAAAAGTATAGCACTAGACTATATGTAAGAAACTGCAAGGAGACCTCTACATACCTTCAGTGAGATTACTGCTCCTCCCCACTCCATAGAACCCCAAGAGATATCCCATCCCTTAAAGCTGAAAATCTCTTTTAGTGCTTCAAATATCTTCCAGAGCTTACAGCACTGAATGGAACGCTGATGTACTAGCAAGAAAACCCACAAAAATTAAAAAGATCCCTGAAGAAAGTAGACTTCCTATCAAAGCTATCTCAGGTTTCAAATTTAGCAAAGATAACTGCAATTCCGCAAAAACAGCAGAATACCCCATATAAAGTGTTAAGGTTAGTTCTACACATTCTTCTCTACTGATTAACACATTGCCTTAATTTTTGCTGTTTTTTTTTAAAAGCAAGTAAAGCATAGTCCAAAGGGCACTTGGCTAGGCTGAAATGACAGGATCTTCAAGTACATCAAGTCAAAGGGGAATTATTGTACCTTTGGCATTCTAGTCATGCCACCAACCAAGATAACTTCTCCAATGTCACTCTTGCTAACTTCAGCATCTTGCATGGCCTTCTGGCAAGGTGCTATTGTCCTTTTAATCAGATCTGCTACAATCCCCTCAAACTGAGAGCGAGACAGTTTCATATTCAAATGTTTTGGTCCTGACGCATCCATTGTAAGGTATGGCAAGTTAATGTCAGTCTGCAATGTAAGATTAACAAACATTAGAAATGAGCAAGAACAATTAGCAACTAACCTTATTTGAAAAACATTCTGTGATGCAGCTATAGCTGAACTTTAAGTGGCCCACATATGGCTACCTACTGTTGAAGCCTAACATTACCAAAATCCATCTCAGACAGCACTAGATTCTTTCATCAATCTTCAGAGGCAATTGATTATGTGCCATCAAGTTGGTGTCAACTCTTAGCAACTATAGATTTTCTCCAGGATACATTGTCCCCAGACTGGTACTTCAGATCTTGCAATGAATTATTGTTCCTAATGGATATGGCAGCAGCTCCAAAGTATAAAGCCTCTTTAGAAAACCAGTTAATTGCCCATGAGGGGTTAATTTTTCTGCCACATCTCATCCCCAAATAGTATTTTATTAACACTGAGGATTTATACTTTTTTCTACAGTATTACAAAACATGATCTGCTCAGTGGTTGATGTAAATTGTTAAAATGGAGCTAATTTTAATAAATAGCTGGAAAATTGCAGGCTTTTCTATTAAATAGTTGCAATCTCAAGCTCAAAGTATCAATTAGGTCTAAGTGTATCACTAAGATATCACTGGGAGGATCCCTTAGGATAAAGGACAGAATCTGCATGTCTTTCCATCTTCAGTTTTAAGTTTTCAGCTTTTTATTACTAATCTCCATGCACAAACACATTTATTTCTTTGGGAGAAATGACAAGTGTTCTATTTGGATAGGGCCTAAAGCTGCTGTTTGGTACCAATGAGCTGAATGACTCACTGAAAATCAAAGTAGTTCTTAGCTGCATTCTGAATTTATTCAGCATTAGAAGCAGTACCTGCTGCTCTCTTTGCAAGCCTATGCTCACTGTCTCATATTACAAATATACCTGAGAGAATTTAACCATCACCACTCTTGCCAGATCACCAAACAGGTAAAAAGTATAAATATTTTAAGGTTGCTTGCCCAAATTGCCATTATATTTAGCTGTACAGTATCTTCACTTGCTCTTACCAAATACAATACAAAAACTAGAACTGGTGATAACCCTCATAAAATGCAAAATCATTTTCAGTTCCTCACCTGGACTGAAGAAGAAAGTTCACATTTTGCTTTTTCGGAAGCTTCCCTTACTCTCTGCAGAGCCATATTATCTTTAGTTAGATCAACCCCTGTCTAAAAAGAAAAGGACAAGTGTACAAGTTCATTGTCTTCTACGTAGTCTTGATTAAACATTAAATAAATCTGCTAAGTTGGATAAAAGCTTAATACAGACAATCTACAGCCTGTCACACAATCAACATTCACATTAATTCTTCAGGATCATAATTCAAGTGACATCAATCCTTAACACTGCACAGCCCATGATTTAAGTGACTTTACAACAAATGTGATGTAACATACAAGATTTATTACCATTTTGTAATTTATATTACAGACGCTAGAATTTTTTAAAATTCACATTTGAAGTATTTGTGCCTTACTCTGCTACTAATCCCATACTATGGTTCCCTCTAGCTATATAAGTACATTCCTACTCAGAAATGCTAGATAACTATTTCCAGTTCTATTCTACTTGCATTCCAATTATTAAAATGCAAACATAAGAACTGAGCTAGATCCAGAATGATCACAATTGCCAAAAAAAAAGGGGAAAGAAATGGAAGCAAATTTACTACTGCTACAGTATCAACAGCATGTACTGGATATTTTGTAAAGTAAATCTAATTTCTTCTATATAGACTGGTAAAGGTCAACATGCAACCCCCTTATTACATATTCAATAAGCTCCCAGTATGTATGTATGTATGCCCCCTTCAAGCAACTTCTATAAGCCTAGATTTGGCTCAGTTTTTCTGAAAAGGATAATGAAACTGGAACAATTTAGTATATACAGATTACATCCATAATGGTAGATATCTATGAGTCTGGACTGCAATATAGACATACAGTATGGATTCAAAAATCATACTCAGAATTGTGTCTTGGCTTTCTATCCACTACAGTTCTCAACACATTTAGACAAGGATACAAAGCATATAGCATGAAGAAAGGAGATCTATGGCACTGAATGTGCCAGTCATGGACAAACACATCTCTTCAGAGTAAGTTCAGTATCAGTTGCCCTTCATCCTTCTTCAGTACTTTCTATAAAGGAACTGCAGGCAGCACTAAAGAAATGCAAAACCTGCTTAATTTGAATGATTTATACTTCAAAATGGGCAGTTTTGACCTAGTCTGAAGAGTTCTGACCTCAAAACAGCCTACAGGCCCAAATATTCCCAGCAAGGTTAGAAAACTGATGAGGCTGCATCCTCTGAGCTCCCAATCACCTAAATTTGAAAAATCTCTTGCATGCCTCTGTGAAACTCATTCTGCCATGGTAAAAAACAGAATGGCTATCAAAGAGACAATTGCTCTGAGATTAAAGATAATATACTTATTCCATTGGTGCTGCCACTTCAAAGTTACATTTATAAGGCAGCGATAAGCTTTACAAAACTGTTACTGAATTATACAAGAAGTAAAGAATGGTAGGAAGTGAATACAATAGTATGTTGAAAACTAGTATTCTGCTACTTAAGTAAAACACAATTCTGAAATATTAGTACCACAGTTTTCTTTTTCAAATTAAGTTTCACTTGAAAGGTCCCTGAAGACCAGTTTATGAAATACAAACTGCTTACCTCTCTTTTGAATTCTTTTACTATATGCTGCAACAAGGCCTGGTCAAAATCTTCACCACCCAAGAAAGTGTCACCATTGGTGGATTTGACCTCAAACACTCCCTTTTGAATTTCCAAGATAGAAATGTCAAATGTGCCACCACCCAAATCATATACTGCAATACTAGGGAAAAAAGAGACATACATTAGTACCTGAGTCTATACATCAATGGAATGTCCAGTTCTTCATATCAAATTCCTCCAACGTGATTTGTTCTATTGAGCTATATTTAATCTTAGATTTTCAGAGTTTACCCATTATTGGAGCATTTGATAAATAGATCTTAGAAGTTTATGATGCCTAGTTGTAATATTTTGTATCAATGGCCCTTGTTCTGCATAGAAAATGATACAGGTGAAACTCGAAAAATTAGAATATCGTGCAAATGTTC